TGTTAAATCGGGGAGTGATGTTGGGGGCTGAGGGCGGGAAATTGGGGATTTGTTCTTCTTGCTTCGCTGAAAGGGGGTGTTTATACTCGTGAGGGAAGGAGGGGATGGGGAAGGAGAGAGAGAGGGGAGAGAGGGGATGTGAGGGAAGGGGTATGAGAAAGAGGAAGGGGTAGGAAGGGGGAAGGGGAAGTGAGGGAGGGGAGTGGAGGGAGGGAATGTAAGGAAAAGGGGGAGGGGAGAGGTGTTGTGAGGGAAAGAAAGGGGAGATGAAGAGGGGTTATGAGGGAGGGAAGGGGTGGGGGAGACGGGAGAGGGAGTGTAAGGGAGGATAGGGCAAGAGAAGAGAGAGAGAGAGAGAGAGAGAGAGAGAGAGAGAGAGAGAGAGAGAGAGAGAGAGAGAGAGAGAGAGAGAGAGAGAGAGTAGAGAGGGTGTGTGAGGGAGGGGAAAGGAAGGGGGGAGACGGAAGAAGGGAGAAGGGGAAAGAGAAAGAAGGAAGGAAGGAAGACTTATGAATGTACTTGACGACGCGAAACCTCGAGCTTACACACCGACTAATTACTGTCATCTTAATATCTCGATCTTTAAAGCTGATCTTTTCCCTCCCTCATTTTTTTTCCTTTCCAATTTGAAAGTATCCCTAAGTTTAAGCTAATCCGGTGGAAACGCGAGGCAATTTATCCCGGGTTAGAGGTTATTTAGCGCCGATTATCCGATTTATCCGGTCGGGGGTCATTTAGCGCAGGTGGAAAGTAATTAAGTCCGAGCGCGAGGCGATTAGCAGCGGCGCGTCGGCCAAAAGGGAGGTCGTCTCCCGGAGGTAATTGTCATGTGGTCCTCATGGCGGTCGTCCTTTTAGCGCCCGAGGAGGAGGAGGGAGGCGGAGGGGGGCGGGGATGGCGCGCCCTTTCGTCTTTTGGGCGGATTTATTGGCATTGGTATTATTCTTAGTTATTATCATTTATTTGTTTGTTTGTTTTGTTTGTTTCTTTCTTTGACGGGGAGGTTATATTGAACGTAGGGATGTTAAATGGGGATATTAGAGAGATGGAAATGTCGTTTTTTTTTGGTACATTTATTTCTCTTACTATTATTTTATTTTTCTTATTGTTATTATTTTTTGACGGGGGTATTAATGGGCATAACGACGGCGGAATGGTTAGCGCGATGGGGCGATATTAAATGTTGAATTGGGGATGTAATTTGTTATGTCAAGTGGGAATATTGCAGAGGTTGCTGGATGGGATGCTAGATGTGAATATTAAATGGAGATACTGAATAGCGATGTTAATTACGAATAAATAAATAAATAAACCAAAAAATATATATATATTCATTTATTTTTATGAAACGGGGATGCTAGACGGAAATGCGAGACGAGATGTTAAATAGGAAGGGAATTGTTAGCTACGGATGCTGGATGCTACTAGCTAGGAAGGATAAATTTAAATGTTAAAGTGTGGTCGTAGATGGTGCTGTTATATAGGGATACTGGAAGGTATGGATATTACAGAAGGGGGGGGGGTTAATTATTCAGGTTGGAGGGGGGTGGGTGGGCAGGGGGGGAGGGTAATTACTCGGGTGATTATCTCGTTGGTAATTCGAGACTGAGATTGAATGCAGCAAGAAAGAGGGCGTTCGTTAGTCTGGTCTTTCTGGTCTGGGACTAATTCGGTCTGGCTTTGTCTTTCTGGTTTAATCCTGTCCTTGGCTTTTTAATGCTCTCATTCTTTCTCTTTATTTTTTGATTTTGATATCTGTCTCTGACTCTCTCTCTCTCTCTCCCTCTCAGTTTTCCCCCTCTCCCTTTCTCTTCCTCTTCCTCTCTTTCCCTTTTTACTGTATCTCTCCCTTCACAGGAAAAAAAAAACAACAACAATAAGAGCAACAAGCTAACCAAGAACAAGGACGCGATAAATAAAATTTCCGACAGAAACTGCTTTTTTTTAACGAATATCACCAACTCTCGCTTTCCTCATCGAGTCCCCTGAGAGACCCCTACCCTACCCCCGTACCCCCTTCCCCCTGTACCACCTTCCCTCGTACCCCCCTTTCCCCCGTACCCCCATCCCTCCATACCCCCTTCCCCCGTACCCCTTTCCCCGTATCCCCTTCCCCCGTACCCCCATCCCCCCTTCCCCCGTACCCCCATCCCTCCGTACCCCCTTCCCCCCCTTCCCCACCGAGTGCATTTCCAAGCTAAGCGTCGCAGGAGAAAGGAATCAAAGATGGACGGCCGCCCAACCCTTTCCTTATGAAGTCTCGACCCTACGGATGAACGCCCCGAGGCAGCTGCTCGAGACGGGGAGTTGTTTATGTCCGCCATTATTGCGAGTATGGCAGCCATCGCTGTCCTTCATCACTTTCGCGGGCATTTTTTTTTTCTCCGGGGATTGTTATTTATATGTGTAATTTTTAAATGAATTATATATTTGTTATTATTTATATATATATAATTTTTTTGGAATCAGTAGATTCGTTGGGTTGTGGTTGTGGGCGGGTCCGGAATTGATGTTGTTTGGTGTTGTGACTGTAGTTATTTTTGGTCTTGTTATTATTGTTATTGTTGATATTATCATTATCATCGTCGTTATTATTATTATTATTGTTGTTATTATTATTATAAGTATAAATATTATTGTTATTATTATTATTATAAATATATATATATTTATATATATATATATATATATATATATATATATATATTATTATTATTATTATTATTATTATTATTATTATTATTGTTATTGCTGTCGTTGTTACTATTATTGTTATCATTATTATTATTACCATCATCATCATCATCATCATTATCACCACCGCTACCACCACCACCACACCACCACCACCACAACCGCCACCGCCACCACACCATCACCGCCACCACCACAACCGCCACCACACCACCACCGCCACAACCACAACCACCACCACCACACCACCACCACCACCGCCACCACCACACCGCCACCGCCACCACCACCTCAGTCATCATCATCACCATCACCATTTCCCCGACTCAAAAGCTCATCTTTTCCCGTCGGGCGCGAGTGCGTGAAACGAAAAACGGCCCTGATTACCTGTGGCGGCGGAGAGGCAGATAACGTGACGGGGCTGAAGCTAGTGTCACATTAGGTTAGATAGGAGGGAGGAGGAGGGAGGGAGGGAGGGCGAAGGAGGGAGGGAGGGAGAAAATGGGGGAGGGAGGGAGAATGTGGATGGAGGGAGGGCGAAGGAGGGAGAATGTGGATGGATGGAGGGAGGAAGGGAGATAGTGGGGGAGGGAGATAGTGGGGGAGGGAGAAGAAGGGAGGGAAGGATTGAGGGAGAAAGTGGGAGAGGGAGGGCGAATGTGGATGGATGGAGGGAGGGAGGGAGAAGGAGGGAGGAAGGGAGAAAGTGGGGGAGGGAGGGAGAATGTGGATGGATGGAATCGACGGACGGAGGGAGGGAGAAGGAGAGGCCGCTGTTAAGAACTTACTTTTATCCTAAGGAGAGGGAAAAGGAGGGAGGGAGGGAAAAGATAGAGGGAGGAAGGGAGAGAGGGAGGGATTAGCCCTTCATAAGAATGGGGTGAACTAAGAGACCTCTTTTTTTGTCATCTGCTTTTTGGAACAGGTTTCGCTTTTTGATTCTCTCTCTCTCTCTCTCTCTCTCTCTCTCTCTCTCTCTCTCTCTCTCTCTCTCTCTCTCTCTCTCTCTCTCTCTCTCTCCCTCTCCCTCTCCCTCTTCCTCTCCCTCTCTCTCTCCCTCTCTCCCTCTCTCTCTCCCTCTCCCTCCCCCTCCCCCTTCCTTCCTCCCCCTCCCCCTTCCTTCCTCCCTCCCTCCCTCCCTCTCCCCCTCCCCTTCCTTCCTACCTCCCTCCCTTCCTTCCTTACCTCCCTCTCCCCCTCCCTCCCTCTCCCCCTCCCTCCCTCTCTCCCTCTCCCTTCTCCTTTCTCCTTTCTGTCCGTTCTCCTTTCTCTGCGTTCTCCCCTTTCCTTCCCTCACCCTCTCCGTTGCGCGCCTCCTCCTCCCGCCCCAGAGACCCCGCTTAGCATTCTACTGATCCCATCCAACATTCCGCAGATCCCGCAGCATCCCGTCCCGCATCCTCAGCGTTATCCTGTCCAGCATCCCGGTAATCCCGCCCAGGATCACGCTAATCTCGCCCGACGTCCCGAAAATCCCGCGCCTCGGAATCCCGCGAGGAGAAGCCATCCCTCTAATGTCCCGACTGATCCTTCCCCGCGCCGAGAGAACGCGCTCGCTCTCGCTCTCTCTCGTTCTCTCTCGCTCTCTCGTTCTCTCGTTCTCGTTCCCGCTCACTCTTGCCGATCTCTTTCTCGTTCTTGGTCTCGTTTTCGTTCTCGTTTTAGTTCTCGTTCTCTTCGTTCTCTCTTCTCCTTCTTCTTCTCTCTCTCCTCTTCTCTCTTCTCTCTTCCCTCTCTACTCTCTCTCTCTCTCCTCGTTCTCTCTCTCTCTCTCTACTTTCTCTCCTCTCTTCTCTCTTCTCTCTCTCTTCTCTCACTCTCTCTCTCTCTCTCTCTCTCTCTTCTCTCTTCTCTCTCTTCTCTCTCTCTCTCTCCTCTCTCTCTCTCTCCTCTCTCTCTCTCTCTCTCTTCTCTCTTCTTTCTTTTCTCTCTTTCTTTCTTTTTGTGTTTTTTTTTCTCTCTTTCTTTCTTTTTGTGTTTTTTTTCTCTCTCTCTCTCCCTCCCTCCCTCCTCCTTCTCCTTCTCTCCGTTCTCCTTTTCTCTGCGTTCTCCCCTTTCCTTCCCTCACCCTCTCCGTTGCGCGCCTCCTCCTCCCGCCCAGAGACCCCGCTTAGCATTCTACTGATCCCATCCAACATTCCGCAGATCCCGCAGCATCCCGTCCCGCATCCTCAGCGTTATCCTGTCCAGCATCCCGGTAATCCCGCCCAGGATCACGCTAATCTCGCCCGACGTCCCGAAAATCCCGCGCCTCGGAATCCCGCGAGGAGAAGCCATCCCTCTAATGTCCCGACTGATCCTTCCCC